CGCTTCAAATATGAAACCGAAGCAACTCATGTATTGGTAATATATTTAGGACGTTGGTGTTTTCTTCCTACTGCCTCTTCTTATTACTCCATGATCGTATATATATTTTTCATTTTGATCTCCTCAGCTAAGACAGATTAGTTTCGCTTTGTGTATTCTTCCATACGAACAATTTACTTCCATTTCAGATTTCCCCTGGACAGTGAAAATTTCGAATATCTGAGGAAAGCTGCGCTACTGTGTAACCTAACTTACATTTTCCACATTTCCCTGTCATACTCCCTTCCTTACGTGTCCACGTACAGAAGTATAACTGTTTAACAACTATGATAATCCCGAATTTTTTGTGATGTATTCTCAACAACTTTTCCTGAAACATCTTCTGTTGCGTCATGTGATTTGGAAACATCCCTAGAGGAAAATTGAGATCCTGTTCCCTGTTTATATTCACTGACGCTATCATACTCTTGACCTTCTGAAGGAGGGGCTCTTTATCCTCTCTTCCTCACCTCTTAACATATGTTCAACGTTTGGGTAAGCGTGTCCTACAATATAGCGTGATAAAAATGCATAATGATTCTTGTCCGCAGCATAATCTATTGAACATTTAACGTTTTCAATTGCATTTCGATATCTTGTTTCCCCTGTATGATTTTCTTTTGTTTGTTCGATTATTTAATCCACTTTTACCTAGCTTTTGTTCAATACCCTCCTCAAACTCATTAGTGGACACAGGTAAAGGATTACCTTGATCCTATTTTGTACGGTACTGCAGAAAGCTATATCAAGACTCATATTTTCTATCACAACAATAATCTTCATTGTTTTCCTCCCTGAAGATTTTTTTCATACTATTCATGAAATCAAGAACTCTGTTTTCTTTATTATTTCCAGAGTTAATATAATTTTTCACAACATCGAAATCTGAAAAATATTGGTATAACACTTTTTCTTCTTCCGAATGACTTGTATATTAATAATAACTATTATGACACACGTCTCCTTCACAATTTTTACTCAAATGGCATAGTATATAATCTAGTTCATCTATAAGCCCAATGATATTTAAATTCCTCCCCTTACTATTCTTCATCCTATTTATTTTACCAAATGCCGAATAATTTAGCAACAAATAAATATGCGTTATAATTACAAATTCTCCTCACGTGTCTCCTTTTCTGTAGTTTATTAGTTCGTCCAGATCTATTAACACTGCCAGTCGCAATAGTTATTTTCAGGTCGAACATATGTTTCAGGGCGTTCTTAGAATTTACACAGGAGTCTTCAATCCCATCATACATATCTTCACATGCATCATATCTTTTGCCATAAAAACAAGTGTAATTACTGATGGAACTATCATTATTCATTTGGGCATATATCTTACATAAAAGCAATTTTGTCCATAGATTTCTCTGAATCATGAACCGAATGAATTACCCGCATAATTAACCTCGTATATTAATATTCCTCTTTATTCTTTATTATGATCATAATAGAATTCACAGAAATTATAAATAATTACTCATCACCATGGTTTAATAATACTCATCTTC